CCTCCAAACCTTTTGAAATTTCAAAAAACGCCGCAACCAACTTTCAAAATTAGACCCCCGACCCCCCAAAACCTTTCCATACATGTCGTAAGGCCAACTCCACCGTGCGACCCTATCTTGTCCGGCCCCATCTGTTTGGGGTAAAACAGACAAAGGATGCGGCCCAGCGCGCGACGGCCCGGACCCATCTTGTTCATTTTGTGTCCGGGCCGACCCATTTCAAGCACAAACTTACGCCGGGTTTGGGTCGCGACGGACACCAAACGGACGCGCGCCTCGTCCGCGTCGGGGTCTCGTGGCAGGCGGCCACCTACCTCCCACCCGCCCACATCAATGCGCACGAGCGGGCGACCCCACCTGTCATCTGCACGTCGAACGGTCGCCGTCCTTCTTTAAGTGGGAGGCTTGGACGGGCCGTCGTCCACACTGCCCCACGCCACCCCGCGGCCAGAGGCGGAACCAGGATTTCCGAAAGCCTAGGGCTAAAACTAAGCTGCTATAAATAACGCCAAATGCCACACATACAAATTCAATGCTATAAGCATGAAATATGTATTCTAATGTTGTAAGAGCAAATTTGATAAAACATATAAACAATTTACAAGGATGCATCATTGCAAATGTAGGTACCAAATTAATGAAGACGTAAAGTAGTAAATATAAAACTGAGTATTTGGAATCAGTACACTTACTAAGTCAAATTCTTAATACAAAATTTTACCAAATAAGAATATAATATACCATTATCACGAAGTGCATGACGTAGACATGTAGTAGCCCCTTGCATTTCCTCATTTTGTGATAGCATAGTATGATCTTTATATCGTCAATGCTTAGATGTAGACTGGTTGGACGTTGCTTGAAAAAGATGTAATTGCTCAAGTCCACTTGATCTTTGGTTTATAATTCCCGTTGATAATATAATTGATTGACGTTACACAATTTGACATTATTAAATAATTGATTTATACTGATACATAAAAAATAAGGAAGAAAATTAGATCACACGTGGCAGAAATTACCTTTCCAGCCGGTTTGGTAGTGTAAGGCTGGGAATAGAGCAGTAGATGGCAAAGCAGATCTGAACTGGAACAAAAATTAGACGGCGCAGCCATGAGCGAGGGCTTGGTCAGCCGAGCTGATCGAATCGCTCGGCGATTCATTTGCTTTCACCGATTGGTTTTCAATCTTAGGTGCAGCCGAGCAGGTAGAGAGCTTTTCCTTTTGAGAAACAGTTGGAGAGCTTAGTGGGCTGAGAAACTTGGAGATCTATGGGCTGAAGCCTGCGGATGGGTATACATGCCTGGGGCTGGGCCTTTAAAAGGTTAAAATTCTGAACAAAATTTACTAAGGCTATAGGTACTAGTTGGGCTACGCCTGGGGCTATAGCCCCAGTTGCCCCGGGCCCAATTTCATCCCTGCCCGCGGCCTTCTCGAAACCCGACAACGCCGAATC